ACAACTCTTCAAATACACGAAGCAATAAAAATCCTACAGCAAACTCCCATAATCAACAAACAATCGACAGGAATAGCACGCACACTGCTACTTCTTGGCGATAAACCCACAAGCCACAATACAACACTCCACCAATTAACGCCTTCCATGAGCTAGATACCACCACCTGCTTACCCATACCTATAAATATCCACCAACAGTAATCACAATTCACACAACATTCAGCCTTGATAATGGATGCAGAACGCATTCGAAACGCGTCGGCCAACTCAACACTATCTACAACTTTTACCCGTTGTTCTGACAACGTTAAGACGGCTTATCGACTTCTTGAGAAGAATTCTAAGAAGAAAGTAAACCTACAGACATCGATCTTGTTTAACAAAATCTGCCTACAAGAAAATCTGTCACCAAAGTACACCAACATATATGAATTTTAGTCACTTTTATAGTAATAAATAGAAAATATACCATACAACAAGAAATTTAGTACTTATGTGTGGGTATTTTACTTTTTGTTCTCAAAGTCTTGATGGATATTAACCATATTTTTTTTACATGACCATTGTTAGTACTTTGCTTAATTTTTAATGGTTTTAAATCTGCAACTTAGGACACAAAATATCAACAAACAACAAAAAACAACATTCTAAAACTATTATAATTTAACTGGATTTCTAACTAGGTTAGATCAGTATTAAAATCATTTCCTTATCTTGTTGATGCAAACAGGGCAATAATAAACTATGAAATTGATGTAGAATTTCTCAAAACTAATCACAAAAATGAGCTCATCTCTTTCTATTAGTTATAAATAATCCAATAGTAAATGTCAGAGAGAAGTATTGACCTTTTTTTTTTTTTACAGACAGCATATGCTAGGAGGGTCATGACATATAACCCATTAAAACAACAAGAACAGATGCTATAAATTTTTATTCTAGTTCAGGGATATCTACTGTTTAAATGTATAAGTGCTTAGAAATTTAAAAAATATATAGGAAAGGAAAGAAGTTCTAAAGTTGGCAACTGGGAGCAAAGAAGTGTTATATGCTACATAAAGGTGGATATTGAGAATTTATTTAAATATTTCTTTTCAAAATTAAGAAATTAAAACATAGATATTTTATTAAACTCTGAATTTTAAACTACACCTAGATACTACATTTATTGACATACATTGATAATAAAGTAGTTTAATTAATTTTTGTAAAAAAAGGGTGTGATATGCACATTTTAAATTTTTTTATATAAGATAAATGTATAAGTAAAAGAATGGTAGTTATCTAACTGATATTTCCATGATCGACCAAATATTTTTTTAGTTTTAAAATACCTTAAACAAATGTTTATTGTTCTTAATGAACTTGAAAAGATTGTTTTTAATTGTTCAGGATGGAACACTTGAACTGGAAAACATACAACTGTTTGAAAATTATCATTATGAATTACAAACTTTTCCACAATAGTTGACACAGATTGTTTTGATTAAAACTGCTAAGAAGCTCTGAAGTCATTTGCAAATTAGTCGACAAAATGTGAAATATGTTGAATTGTACAATGATGTTTCATTATTATGACATCTTTATAAAAATACCTGAATTCTTTTCTAAGCTCTTGTTCAGCTGACTGATTATCCGAGGGAGTAATCTTAGCTCGAAACTTACGATATTCACATTTATTCTTCTCATCCAATTTCTGTTCTATAAAAAAATATGCACATATATATGTGCATATTAACAAGTTATAACATACCCAAAAGACAAAAATAAAAGGTATAATAATTGAGATATCTCACAATACTTAAGAGCTTATCATTACTCCTTTCTACTTACCTTAAAAGGAAAACCTTGTGAGAATTCAACCATCAACTGTCTTTTATATGACTCATTGCCAAAAGTCATTACTGTAAATCTTCAGAGTTGTAAAAAACACGATTACTATATTCTAATGACTGTCTTCATCCAATTCCTAACTTTCACTTAATTATCAAACTTCCGTCAGCTGTTAGTTCTATTGGATAAAGAACTCACAATTGTTAATGCTTATAGATTTTCTTCAGCATGTTGACAACAAAATATGTGTAATTGTTGTTTTGGCATTTTGCAAATTGGCACATGGAAGCACTCAAGTACTCACTTGGAAACTGAACCTTGCACAAATGGTAAAAATATTACAGTTGTCACAGTTATCAACATATTATATACAATTTCTATGTACATCAAAATGTTTACATCATATGTGCTTCAAAACAGAACTTTTTTTTCCACATAAACTGAAAAACAAAGTATTATTGATTAATTCCACCTTACTAATAAACAAGTAACTTAAAAACTTCTTGATAATGGCCATAAAGTAGGATGAGTTAAATTAAAATATCCATTAATAATTAGTCAGCACATATAAAGAATGTTTTTAAATTATGAATATAATTTCGGTTTTACCTTCTTTCTTTACATCTACTTTCAACCTTTCTAAAGAAAAAGGCAAAATGACCATCTTCTTGTGAACTGGTTGAGGTTCATCCACAGTAACTTCAGAAGAACTGCAAACTGCAACAGAAGAATCTTGTTCAGACAAAATTAAAGACGATTGAGCTTGTGATACTTTTCTGTCAGCTTCACTGTGATTGTTCTGAACTCCAAGGTACCCATCTAATGTATGCAATGAAGATGAATGTTCTTTTTTAAGGTTGTGAACACCACAGTCTAGTTTGTGTCTGAACTGATTTAACAACGAATTTTCCATGAACTTATCTGTGCTTCTCTTCTTATATACTTTTCTATCACATAAAAACTCTTTCAAAGGACTCTTCATGGTTCCTTGGTTTCTATAATTAGATGAATCATCCTCAAGAGAAGCTGCTTTCAAGTTGGACGCACAAGATGCATTTTTATAAGGTTTATTGACTGCATCTTCACAGCTCTGAGACTGCTTGCAAAGAGATAACTCTAATCCTTTTTCTTCTAAACCATCATAATTTTTGTCAGAAACTTTATCAACAAATAAATCTGTTTCAGTTCTAGAGATTTTATCAGTTAGTTCTTCATCTATTTTTCCTGACTTAATAGAGTATTCTTCAGAAGCCACTTGTATCAGTTCTCTGGTGATACAAGGAATATTATCTGATATACCTCCAGTGAAATAATCACCCACTTCCTTGTCATGAATTTCTTCTTTAGTCATTATCATCTGTAACTCTTTATCTTCACTAACTGCAGTGTTCAGTTCTTTCTCCTTTGTTACTGAACTTTCCACTTTAAGAGAATTAACTTCATATGATGACAGTGATGCTTTAAACCGTGCAACTATAAAATAAGATTCCTATTAGAAACATTCAAATAAGTACTTAACCAATTTTACACACTACTGTGATTTCACTTGACAGTTTGAACCAAATATAGAATTAGTTCTGGAAAAAAATAAAAAATATTCACTTAAACACTTATTTTAGGGTTGTCAATCAGCCTATAATGTAATGGGGTCAAGCGGTATGTACTCCATACTCATTTTAATACTGTTCCTTAAGACATCTTTTTAGGAAATTTTTATTTTAAGTAAAAACACATTAACTGTCCTCAAAAATAAATCAGAAATTACTTTGTTCACTATTTTAAAATAAAAAACATTCACTAGCAAAATATTAATTTTTTTTTCTTGCTTTTTACCTATGTACACGAACTACAGTACTTCATTGTAAATGCCAATAGTTACATGTAACTTTAGTTGGATTATTTGTCTTAATTAGAAATGTGTCAATTTTGACTCCATTATGAAAACCATTACAGAAAAAATAGTCAACGTTCATTGATAGGTAAATGAAATTTGGTTCTTTCTGTAAAAGTCATTAAATACTGCTAGTAAGGAGCCCACAAATACAATGCCTTGACAGTCCTTAGTAGGAGGCAGTGATAACAGATGTTTATAGTTAATTGTTGAAAATATTAGTAAGAGGTCAATTGGTAATAACCCACAATTCTTTAAATTTATGAACAAACATTTGATAGTACTTTAGTCTAGAAAAAATCAAAAATAAAATGGTTAAACCAGATAAAGCACTAGTGTATAATACTAGGAAAACAACAAAATAAAAGCAGTTATAAGCTTTCTGTGACTGTAAAAAACTGATTTTAGGGCTTACATTTGTGGATGTTTACTGTTGACTCACTCTGAGGCTTAGATTCATCGGGTACTGAAAAGGCTCTTTTCAAACCAATGTTCAGCTTTCCCTAAGAAACATTGAAATGAGTTTCAATAACTATAATTAAAAGTATCATTCAAATAATACTTATCAACTTCAAAATATGTAAGAAATTATTCTTGGAAGCTGCAAGCATTACATACATACACATTTTTTAAAAATTAGCATAAGTTTTTTTAGTGGAATAAAAACTTCATTTTCTTAAAGTTTATGATTTACAATAATAAAATATGATTAATCAAAATAAAAACTATCTCAATCAGCACTGAACAAAATAATAATTAAAGTCTCATTTCACAACATTTTAACATGGATTTGTAAAAATATTATTATTTAAAACAATCTTTATTTTTTACTAATTAAATTACCACCAGCTGATTTTACTTTTAGAACTTGCAGTATTGAAAACATTTAAATCAGAATACATGATTTATTAAAACTTAATGATCTTTAACATTGAATAATTCGTATCTAAAGCTGTAACATTAAAACTAATACTATTATTATTATTATACTGAAGAAATAACACAAAAAAAAAGATTAGTGAAAGTTGTAATGGATTTGTATGTGCTGATTTTAATATGCAACTAAAGCAAAAAAAAATTATCTTGTTATTTTCTTGTATGTTATTCACAGGCTTATTAAAGTGTTAAAAGTATTTAATAAGCCTATGAATAATGTACAAGAAAATAATTTTTTGTAATAATTTGCTAAATAGAAATTATATATCCACTCTGGACCCAACTATTTGTAAGAATACCAAAATCCACCTAAGTGATGATGTTGTCACATGAACACTACTTGGGAAACATGTTGGCCTAGCTTTGTTTTTATTGTAACCATGACATACACACAACATAGTCACAACTACCTCTACAAACTTTAATAAGGAATAAAATGGGATGTGATAAAAATTGCAACTGGAAATTATTGAGCTAAATATCAATTGCTTTACATAAATTTGTATTTCCTGTCAATGTATGAAATGCAAATAATATTTGCATGATACAAGAGGCTATTTGTTTTGTTTTAGGTTCAATTTAAAAATAGGTCTAAATTTTGCCAAGATCTAACATTTAGAATTTAAATCAAGTTCTCAAGTGTGCATTGTTCACTGAATAATACCTTGTTAATCTTCTTAATCTACAACAAAGAATATCTATTCAAGTTTATGCTTTGGTTTGTTTCATGAGCATGATCAGTGTCATTAGAGATGTTGTCACAGAATGAAAAAACATTGATGTAAACATGAACTGTAATCCAATCTTTGCTAGACCATCAGAAATTATTACTATCAATTTATTATTATTGCTGTATTATGATGAAAACTTGAACTGCAATCTGAACTAATCAAGATTACAGAAAATGTCATGTCACAGTAAAACCAAAATGATAGTGTTTGATTTGTACCCTCTCTCAAAACTCATTTTTTTCTACATTTACTATGTGAGATTGATAATCAAAAATTTTGAAGTGATACACTAGAGGGAAGGTCAACACCATCCACTATGTGTATCTTCACAATATTTGGTAGACTTTTAGTAAACATTACAAGTCTTTTGTAAACAAAAAATCTGATTTTTTAAGGAAGTATTTTTACTAAAGATTTGTTTGTGAGTATATTGAATCTGTTTTGTTACTACTCTGAGTGTGAAGTGATTTTCAAGTTATGATTAAAACAACTATTCTTCTTCCCCAAAACCTCAAATATCATTTGTGCAATCTCTAAAACATCCTAAATACATTT